AAGATGAGGATGCAAAACAATACGAGAAATGCAAAAAAGGTTAATGATGAGGAAAGGAATGTTGAAGCACGGAAGGATAATGATGACGATGATGCGACTAAAAAGAAGAATATGAGATGTATTTAGGCTATTTCGTTGAAGTTGATAAAGGACTGGTAGTTGAATGTTCCCACAATCGTATGAATAGAGTTGATGCTTGCATTAAATTTCACAACGTCTTTCTTTCCCAAAAGGTGTTCTCATCCCGGCTTGGATGGACAGTGCAGCACAGCATAATCTCGACACTTTAAACGCTACACCACATTGCCGTGACCTCGTTGTGGCAACTTGTTCTTGTTGTCAGGGCGACTGAATAGAACGCACCTAGTCCGAAGTCGTCTGCCACAGCAGTTGTCATGATTGCCAGCATCAGACAGTGGACTTGGTACATTCTCAAAGCATTTCGCCGACTACGATGCTGGCGAAATGCTTTGACAATGAAATGTGCGTTCTACTCAATCGCCTTGACAACAAGACCAAGTTGCCACTACAAGATCCACCCACTTCTACAAATCGGAAGGAGACTGCGACCATAACAGAGACCACAACATCTTGGCCTTCATAGCTTCTATTCATTTGTTTGTAAAAACAACTGCAACTTTATGGAGTGAATATATCTCATTTATCGAATCTGTTGGTAGTCTCGAAGCGTATTTATCAACGAAATTGAGGATGTCCAAATAGTTTCACAAGCCATTAGCCGCTAAATTAATTAATTGTTAATTTTTAATCTTGAAGCCAGTGTTTATGCTGTTGGGAAAAGTGAACTATCAGCCTTTCTGTACCTTCTTCGACCTGGAGTGTGTACAGTTCCTATTCATGACTTACTGGCAGCCTCCGACAGTCATCTACAACCACATTTCACTGCTTAAATCTCAATTTAAACAACTCGTACCAACAAAGTTCTCATTCAAGTACTACTGATAACTTCTCAAAACTACTCATATCACATTATGCGGATAAATCACATGTTCCGAAAGGCGTAGAAAACGAGTTTTCTCAGCCCTACTCAACCGCCTCCCTTTCACGAGCAGCTCTAAACGGGATTCGAATTCGCGCCCCGAGACAGATTAACACTCAGTCGCATAGCAACAAGTTGTAAGCTTAGCGACAAACAAGATCTTTTCTAAATTGCCTTTTTTGTGTTTAGCACTCAAGCGTTTTCGATGTCCTCAACGACGTTGCGTCAATTGACAAAACGTTCTGAACTGACGAAGCCAAAGATGGCGCCATCCGTGGTTGTCGTCTGAGCATTCCTGTCGCCTGGCGCCGGAAGTGAATGCGAGTTGCCGGGTGCAATGCTTCGCCTTCGGCCTCTAAAAAAAGGCCTCGTTGCCAACGGCGGCAACGGCGACGGCGATTCCGTCCATTTGCCTTTCCGACGGCGTAACACGTCTGTGCACACACCGACACATACATACACACACGCACACACCGACACATACAGACACACACGCACACAACAGCGAGTTACATGAGGTGAGGCATAATGACGATCACCCTCATGTTTGCACTGAGCACTTTTCTCGCCCAATCCCTTTCTCCCCAATTATGCACATGTCGACAAAACTGACAAACTGACAAACTGACAAACTGACAAGTCAACAGACCAACAAACGGCCAGCCAGACAACGGCATTAACCCAAAGTTGCCGGCAGACCGAAACTCGCCTTGTCCACACACACACACACACACACACACA